TATATATATATATATATATATATATATATAAGCAATACATTATTGGGTTAGTTTTTATCAATGTCATTAAAACATTTAGTTTCAGTCTGAATTCAATGCATGAATGGAGGCAGCGGAAGTATTACTCTAGGGTCATATAAATTAAAGAAGGGAACTCAAGATGATGATGAGGATGATGGTTAGAGGCTTTTGCTTAATTAATGTTTTTGCTTAATTTTTTTAAAATATTTGTATAATCATTGCATATAATATTGGCGAATTGAAATGATAAAACTTCATAAATTTGTTTTATCATTTAACGTTATTCAGGTTATTTGTATTTTATATTAATTATAATATTTACGTGTTGAATCTATTTTGGGACGTATGATCCCGTCTCGTTCGTGATACCACACAATTTGATATAAGATTTTGTATGGCTGCAATGTCAATAAAGAAACATGAGACGATGGGAAGGAGAGAGATGGATCTCATTTATGTTATGCCTAAAGTTCTTTTCAAAAAGAGAGAGTAAGGGAGCTTGAGAATAGGGTGTCCGTCCCCCCTTCCCTTTTTCTTCCATCCCCTTGGCCCGCCCTCGATGGTCTTCTGATGAGAAGGCTTTAACGAAGCCATGATCTTTCCTTTGTACACAATCGAATGTCGGCGATGTGATGATTATCCATTGCTCGGGTTACAGGTTGACTTGGAAACTAATAAATACATTTATGGTTCATTGGATTTCCTTTTCAGTTGGGTTGAACTATTTTGAATAATCGGGAGCGATCTAACCACTTCGGCAAGTGGACATGGCAGGAAACACCAGAGTAAGTGGGTTGGGTTCGACCTGTTAGGGTGATCGATAGTTTGCTTGCTTCGATAAGTAGGCCTGGCTCCGCAATCCAATATTTTCGTATACATTGTGGAAACTGGGTTTACTATGATGCATTAAGATTTATTTATGCTTATAGGCGCAAAATTATGTAAACGTCCCATGTCGAGATGCTCATAAATAAAAATGAGATAGCTTACCTCAGTAATTGATAAAATCCCAAACGATATATCTTATCAATCATACTTAATTATGTTGCCTATACATAGTTTACCACAGTAATAAGAAAATCGACCTCTCATATAATACGAACTTAGCATTCATAGTAAATACAAATAGTGTCATAAATAACTTGGTTATGGTTTTTAGCTAATTTGCTTTTTGAAATTCTGGCATTACTGGCTTCGATTGTGCAAGAAAACATAAACATACTGCACTCGTAAATTCTTTGACCACAGGGAAATTGAAAAAACACACTAAATTCAACATTGGTAGTGGCGAATTAAATTAATTTAGGGAAATTTACATACATACCACACAATTCTTATGCATTTACACATATAACACCCAAAGTTCGTTATTTACACCTATGACATCTTTGTGTGACGGTGTCATAACTATATGCATGAAAAGGTGCATTGCACTTCAAAAAAGATGGTGATTGTGTTCTTACTGTCAAGGATTTGAGTGGTATGCATGTAAATATGAATGAATGTTTGTGTCAGATATCTAAATACATAACAAATGTGTGGTATGCACCTAAATGCCCCTTTAATTTCATGCCAAACAGCATCAATAAATCGTAAATTAATACCAAAAGAAGCCAGGAAATCATTATTGTAGCAAGGAAAACATCAAGCGCCAAACAAGCTGCAAAACTTAATTCCAGAAGTCCAAACATAAAATTTTAACTAACTACAAAGTAAAATGCCATATAGACATCAAAGCCTAAATAGATATACAGCTACAGAAATTAAGAAGCAAATCTCCAACTGCCCAACATTCTTTAATGAAAAAGCAGCATTATACATACCTCATTAATGGAGGATCCCCATCAGACATAGTAAATCATTCCCACCTCAATGAGACTAATATGAGGGATATTCAAAGCCACAGAAGGGCCCCTGCAGTTCTTCCTAAGAAAAGAGTAGGCCACATCAATAACAAACTTCTTCATAAAAGACGAATTCTTCCGGGCCTTTATGTAAGAGTGGCCTAACACATAAGCAACTCCGGCCTCCTTCGCCTCCAGGAGAGCAGCCAGCTCGTCTCTCATCTGAGGATCCACTTGCGGCGACTGAGGCAGTTCGAATCGAACTCGTTTTCTACGTGTTAGATTTGGAGATTCATGCTCGTATAATGACTGCAAACTTTGCAGAGTTTCTGACTTGCTGCTTCTACCTGAAACAGATACACCCGGAGCTCCGTCATCGGCGTCCCTCACCACTAAACCGGAACGCCTCTCAGAAGTACTAATAACCGCCATTCTTCCCTCGGGAGATCCATCAGAGCTGACCGAACCTCTCGATTCCTCGGCTTCCATTTGAATAAACTCGGCGATGCTCAAAACTAAATGATCCTCGAAATTGTAATCATCTTTTTGGATGTCTTTGTAGCCGTATCTTACGATACATCTGTACATTCTGTAGGCTCTGGGACCGATCCGACCGATTAGGTATCGTTCATCGGGAGGAACATATGGGAGTGGAACAGATTTGACGCAAACGAAGACGAGAACCTGATGAAAAGCGGGTAGGTTAGTGACGAAATGGGAGAAGATGGCCGGAACTCCGGTCACCAGTTCTGTATAGATGAGGCCGATTCCAGGGACGCGAACTATTCCAAGACTCGGGCCGAGAGTGAGGATCCATTTCATGGAAACTTTGTTCTGCATGTCGAAAATATACTTGCGCCGAGTTCCATAGTGCCATACGTACATGATGGCCATGAAGACAGTGGAGAGCACCAATGGTGCCCAGCCTCCCTGTGGGACTTTGATGATTGAGGACGAGAGGTATAACAATTCAATGATTCCAAAGAAAGTTAGAAACAGGAGAGCGAAAAAGATGTTTTTCTGCCAAACAAAGATGATGATCAACGCCATTAACCACGTTGTGACAAACATTACGGCTATGCATGCAATGCCTGTAAATAAAGAAGGTTTCGTTAATTATTAATCAATGAAACAGCAGTACATATAAAGAATGAGATAGAAAAATAATTTATGTGGTAAGTTGGGAAGATTTTCATACATGCCACTCAAATCTTATGTATTTACATGTCATTTTACCTATGCATGAAAAATGTACTTCCCTTTTTAAAAGTTAGAATATTTGTATTTTTGATGTGATATGAATGATTTGGATGTTGTAAATGTCAAAGACAAAGAATAGGACTTAGATATGTAACGCATAAGAATAGAGTGGTATGCATATAAAAGCACCTTTTAAAATATTTATGCACAATTAAATTTTGTTTAGATCATTTTAGTCCCAAAGTCTATAAAAGTGTTAATTTAGTCCCTAAACTCTTTTAATAATGCCTAAAATAGTCCTCTCTGAATATTATTTCAACCCATATTAAAAGAAGGTAGGGACTAATTTAACACTTCAAAAAATCCGGGACCAAAAAGGCCTTATGTAATTAGTTATGGGACTATTGTGGCATTTTACTCATAAGTCGTTCAAATTACAATCATGATGATTTTTTAACAATATAAAGAATTCCAAAACCTCAGCTCCGGGAATTAAAACTATACCATATGCATTGCCAATCAAAGTGGTATCGCGGAAACCAATTGTGACAGCAAGACATAGCACCATAAGTATCCAATTAATTTCAGGTATATATATTTGGCCATATATCCACCTTGATGTATGGACGACCTTAACACGAGGAAAACAGCCCAAGGCAAGGCATTGCTTCACGATCGAAAAAGTTGCAGAGATAACGGCCTGGCTAGCAACTATGGAAGCTAGAGTGGCCACCAAAAAAACCGGCCAAAACACAGAGTCTGGGAGAGAATAAAATATGGCCAAATTTGAAAGTTAACAATATTCTGAAAGAAAAATTGTAATAACAGTTGTTGAGATTGATCAAGGTCTTACTGGGGATGGATGCATAGAAGCTTGTGGGAACCGATGAAGCATTTTTAGTAAGATATGCTGCCTGTCCCATGTATTGTAGTACCAAGCATGGATATATAACGGTGACAAACGCAACCTGCACACGTTAGGACTATTTAGGATGATTAAAAGTAAAATAGAACTACGCTTAGGCTTAAATTTTTTATTCGACTCATTTTTTGTACTCCGGTTTCATAATAGAAGTAATTATCTTAAATGTCATCCTTTCCCACTTGAGATCAACTGCTCCAGGTTTTTAGTTTGAGCAGGGAAGTTTTGGGAACCTTCCTCACCAAAAGTATTCAATTGGAAAATATATCGGTGATAAGTTGAAAACATATGAATTATGTCAAAGGTGCCATAGAATCAATATTACCAAAGGCGGAATATTACAGCCGAGTTTCTAGGATCTTAAAGGAACCAATGTCAAACCATTCTGAATACATTTTGAAGAGGAATCTTATACAAAATCATATACAAAGCTACATTCAGGAGCTATATAATATCAATTTTAAGAGAATTATGCAAAGTTAACATAGGACAGAAAGCAGTAAAAACAAAATTTTCTACAAACTATTTCATTGGCAAACAGTCATTTTTTTCCTAATAAAATAACCTCAGAGTTTTATATAGGTGAATAAGTCATACTAAATAGAATTAAACGAAACATTTTGATCTTTTTCTAATTAAAAAGAAAAGATTGACGGACGCCCAAATAAGAAAAATTTTAGTTAATGCTATTTTCTTTTTAGAATGATTTGCATGACAAGGCAAAAAGAACTTCGTTTCTTGCACAACATGGGCACTATGAGCCAAGATACTAAAACTAGGTGTAATTTAGAACTGCCATTCCTCAAAGTCTTCGTTTGCCACAACAATTACATACACTATCAATGCTCTGTTGTAGGCGCCAACTCAACATTAACAGAACTAAAATTCAATTGAGCCTATGAATCTAAAGTGATTCAATTACCTCATCGATAGTATGGTCTTTCAAATATCCTGATTCTTCAAAAAAGATTTACGCATTTTTGAAATATATATAACATAAGAATTTCTACTCCAACTCAACAAATCTGTTGAAAAAATAACCAAGTAGAAAATGAAGATAATGAATATGGCAAAAGGTTGAATAACAACAATAGCAACGCCTTTATCCCACTAAGTGGGGTCGGTTACATGAACCCTTTTTCTCAAATTGAGTGTCCATATTTTCATTTAATTCTAATATATAAAAATCATCTTTTATACACCAAGACCAAGTCTTTTGAGGTCTACCTCTACCTTTCTTACTAAAAGTCAAATCTAAAACATTTGCTCTCCTGACAGGAGTATCAGATGGTCGACATCTACTATGAACAAAACATCGAAAAAGACTCTCTAATCCTTGTATGCTACTGGAGCTGAGCTACACCAACCCTTTCACGGATATATTCCTTTCACATTTTATCTTTATATGTAAAGCCACTCATCCACCTAAACACTCATCTCAACAACACTTAGTTTTATGCTACTCTTTTGTAGGCCAACATTCTGCATAAAAAAGTATTAGATTTATAATGGCAATCAAATCCCTGACCGTTATTACTTATTATTTATTGCCTATTAGCTTTAATTCCCTTATTATGTATTTTTTTTCTTTGCTTTATTCTACTTTATTCATTTTCTATTTATTTTAGTTTATTTTATTTCTTTCCTTTGTTGTGCCTATTGTAGTGAGGTTTAGATACCCCCTCTTCTATCAATAAAGTTATGTTAGACTATTCCAAATTTCAACAAGATATTAGAGCCAAACCCTAAATCCAGCAGCCTCCAGTTTTCTCTGCAGGTTCTAGCAGCCGCCTCTTTCTCCTAGCAGCCTTGGTAGGGGAATCTGCTGGCCTCCTTCTGTCGTTGGAGCACAGCATGTTCTATCACTAAAAGCAGAACATTGCATTCCCCGCTGGATCTCCATGTAGCACTGCATCTGGCCTCCTTCCTCTACCACTGTTCTGCAGGAAGGGTTCCTGCTATCTACCAATATATCAATTTCTGTTGGAAGGGTTCGTGCTAGCATGAAGGGTTCCTGCTCCCTCTACGGCTGTTCTAATGGTTCCTACTAGTGTATCCATTTTTGGGGATTCAATCGAAATTCATTGATGGCTCACAATATCATTTTTGTTGGCTCAATCGAAATTATGGCTGATTCTTTCAATGAATCACCCTCAGAAGTTGCTCTTGACTCCATCAAAGGATCGACTACAAACCCCGCTCCCTTGCTGACCGAAAGACCATAAGCCAACTTGAATTTCTAGATCACAACTCATAGGTTGAACGAAAACAACTTCCTCCAATGGTCCCAAGCAGTCTCTTTGTTCATCAAAGGATGTGGGAAGTTTGGTTACCTCACAAGTATGATTCGTGAGCCTCCAAAGACTGACCCGACATATTGAACTTGGGAGGTGAAGAACTCCATGGTCATGTCATGGCTAATAAACTCTATGGAAACATCAATTGGTCTTTCATACATATTCATTCCTTCATCTAGTGCTCTCTAGACAGCTACTGTGATACCTACTCGAATGTAGAAAATTCGAGGCCAACTCTATGAGTGTCTAGAAAAATTCGGGAGGCAAAACAGGGGACAAGGACCGTGACCCAGTACTATATAACCTTGTTGCATTATGGATGGATTGCGATATGTACTACGACTATACTTGGGATTCTCCCGCTGACTTATCCCTCTTCTAGAAGATAGTAGAAAATGATCGTATATTTCAATTCCTTGCTGGCCTTAACAAATACCTTGACTAGGTTCAGGGTCGATTCTTGGTTGGGATCTTCTTCCTTCTGCATGCAATGCTTTCACTGAGATTTATCAGAAAGAAAGCAGGAGACTTGTCATACTCGACACATCTACACATTCAGTTGGATCATCCGCCTTGATCTCAAATAGTGTTAAATTCTCGTTCATGCCACCGCGGACTCACGAGGACAACCGAACAACATCCGCCTTGATCTCAAATAGTGCTAAATCCTTGTTCATGCCGTCGCGAACTTACAAGGACGGCCGAACAAGGTGCGACTCAACTGACTCCTACCCGAAACATCCCAGAATCCTCCAAATCACTGAAAATTTGGATAGAGCAATTGATAAAGCTACTTAGAGCCAATCAAGTTTCTTCAGGTCTGTCGACCTCCCACATTCAACAAGATACATTTCCCATACCTCTCATCATTTATTCCTCATATAGTCAGTAGATTATTGATTCAAGAGCCAAGGATCACATGACTAAATGTTCGCACGCTTTCTCGACTTACTATCCATGCTTTGAAAAAGATATAGTCAGAATTGTTGACGATTCTTGTAGTTTCATTACTGATAAAGAGACAATTGCACTAACAACCGATCTAACTATGAAGACTGTTTTACATGTTCCCTAGTTGCAATGTAACTTGTTATCTGTCAGCAAGTTGACGAATGATTTTGATTGTATTGCTAACTTCTCTTCTGATTATTGTGTTTTTCAGGATCGTCATTCGAGAAGGATGTTTGGAATTGCAAAAATGGTAGTTGGACTCTACTAATTCCAAGATGAGCATGAAAAAAACTGACACTCTTTTCAAAAGTTGTAGTTTTTCTCGAGTCATTGAATGTCTTATTATGTTTTTGCATTGTCATTTAAGTCATCCTAGTTTTCAATATTTAAAGAAGTTGTATCATTTGATGTTTTCTAATAAAAATCATTCTAATTTTAATTTGAGACGTGTCTGTTAGCCAAACATAATCGAGTTTATTACCCATCCCACACTTACACTTCTTCTGCTCTTTTCTCCCTCATTCACAATGACCAATTGGGAGCCTCTCTCACTCTCAACTACACCAATAAAAGGTGATTCCCGACCTTGATTGATAACAATACTAGGATGACATGGGTCAGCATTTTAAAAGACAAATCAAAAGTTGTCACATTCAAGAACTTCTACACCTTCGTTATAATTTAATTCAAAACTCCTATTCAGGTCCTTCGGACCGACAATGGTCGTGAATTTTTAAACTCTATTTTGGGTGAATTCTTGGTGAGTAAGGGCATCCTCCCCTATAGCTCATGTACGGACACTCAACAAAATGAGATAGAAGATAAGAAAAACCATCACCTCGTCGACGTTCCTCGCTTAATTATGTTTCAATCCAATATCCCGAAATATTTTTGAAATGATGTCATTCTCACTGCCACCAATCTCATAAATAGAGTCCCCTCTAAATTCAAAAATTTCAAACCCCTTTAGCTGTCCTGATGACATGCTTCTCTGCCAATAGGATTTTCTCTACATCAAACCTCAAGATTTTTGGGTGCACTGTCTTTGTTCATAACAGTTCCCCCATTTGGAGTAAACTTGATCCCAGATTCATAAATGTATATTCCTTGGATACTCCGCCACTCAAAAGAGCTATTAGTGTCTTGATCCTACCACTAACAAAATCTGTGTGATACTATCTTCTTCTTTGAAAGTGCTCCATATTTTCGTAACTCAACCCCAACTGAGGGGGAAGTTTGGGTTCTTAGAAACTATCCCTTATCATACTACTATGGATGTTCCCCCCATTGTTCCCACTAGTAAAGAGTCTCTTGTCCCTGTGAGTGCACCATCCAGTGAGTTGTCGGATCCAGTGAGTGCACCGTCTCCTCCTCCTACCATCTATGTTTACACTCGGCGCCCCCATTCCAATGATCCTACTCTGGGACTCACCGCCTCCTTACAGGACCTTTACTCCACTCCGGTCAATATCCTCAACGCAACCCATCCTCCAAAATAGGAGGTGAGTTCTCCATGCAAGGTATGTTATCAAACATGCTCCCTCTATTCTATGACAAAATAAGTCTGTTTCTACAGTATATCACCATTCTACAGAGCATTTGCCACAACCCCGACAGACCATCAGATCCCAATTACTATTAAGGTTGCTCTTGCTGATCCAACCTGAAAAAAAACAATAATTGAGAAGTTGAATGTCCTTCAATGGGACCATACAGGGACATCGTTGATCTGCCTCAAGGTAAGAAAATTGTGGGGTGTCGATAGATTTTCAGCACCAAGTTCAACTCTGATGAATCT